CGAGCAGGGGGCGGCCGAGCAGGACGCCGAGCTCGAGCTCGACGTCGAGGTAGGCGCAGCCGCGGGGGTAGGGGACGGCGGCGCCGTCGGCGCAGAAGGCCAGGTGGTTGGACTGGTAGAAGATGGGCTCGCGGTACCAGAGCGCGTGGGGCCGGAAGAGGGGGAAGTCGGCGCCCCAAGTGAGGGCCGAGTAGAGCCGCCCCGCGTAGTAGGCGGCGGGCCGGTACAGCCGCGTCATGCCCACCGCCGCGCCGTAGAAGTGCCGCTCGAACAGCATGAAGTCGCGGTACGAGCGCGGCTGGAAGGGCAGGCCGCGCCGGCGCGGGTCCTCCGCGTCCGGCGGGTTCGCCTCCAGCACGCGGAAGAGATCGTCGTCGCTGTGCTGCTCTTTTCCTCCGGAGGTGGCGGCCGGTCCGTCGTCGCCGTCCTCGGGCAGCCTCACGACCCGGTGGTTGACCCGGTGGTACTTCATTGCTGTTATATTACGGGGTGCTGCTGAGTGATACTGAGTGAACGGGACCTGATGGGATGAGGCTGACGAGGCAGAAGCGCTGGGAGCGCTGGGAGGGGGCCAGGGAGGTTCAGCTGCCTACTTCACTTGCTGACTTGCCGAGCACACGGCACGGCATTTGCGGCACCCAAGAAATATCCGATCCGGCGCAAGCCACATCTGCAGTGGTGACGTTCCCGCCCGGCTCCTCCGAGCTTATCGGAAGCTCCCTCTTACATCTTGGCCCAGGCTTCCGCCTCGGATGAGACTCAAATCTCCTGATACCACATTGTGAGTACTTTGCGTCTGTACGACTGCTGCTTGCGATGTCGTACCTGGTATCAATATACCTACCTAGACAATCCTGGCTAGTTCGAGGTTGACAAGCTCGATCTGTTCTAAATTTAGCATCATGAACCCCTAATCCACCATGTTTTCTCTGATTGCCTTCACCAGATTCCTTCTTTTATCTACGACACCAGGAGTCCAAGATTCTGCTATGGTCCGTACCCGTACGGTCTCCTATTGCCATCACCTTCCCATCACCACCATCCGTAACCCAGAAGTAAGATGGGTGGGTGCATCACGACGTGAAACATTATAGGCTTCGGGAGATTGGACATCTGGAGAAGCCTGTCCCAGAGGCACCAGACGTCTCGAGGTTATTTCAATTGTCCAACCACACGCGACTGACCACTTAGTATCGTCCTCATTTACCCTAATGGCAGCCAGATCACACGAAGATTGGGTGCCGTCATGGTGGTGGACGATGAAATCAGCCCTGTTCAGGTACCTACCTCTCAAACAGACTTGCACACCTTTCGAACCTGGTCTCACCAAGCCGAACATGAATACAAGGCAGGTAAATTACGGGACAACGAACGAACGGCGACGAAGTCAGAAGCCAACTTATGAAGAATCCTGGGCTTGCTTCAAAGAAGACAAAACCACGCCGCTCGCCGTCCTGGTTGACGTGAACTCCACAGACATCTGATACGCAGACAGCCGAGTATTCCATTCCTACCTGTACTCCAGTTCGATCCATTGGGCAGCCTGACGAATGCGGCCATGCGTGCCTTTCATTATGACTACCAAAACTACCCTTCTGATAGAAATTACCTTCAGTAGGTACCGTAGGTAGGTACCGACTGGCGTGGCGTGGTTTTCCCATTCCTCTCTGCTGTTTCCTTTATCTGCTTCTATTACTGTCTATTATCTGGTTCTGTGACTATCTCTGCTATCTCGCTGCTATTTTATTCATTATTATTCATACTGCGTCTGCTGTTTGCGCTACTGCTGTTATTCATGTTATTGCCTCTGCCGGTGCTGGTGCTGCCGGTGCTGGTGCTGCCGGTGCTGGTGCTGCCGGTGCTGGTGCTGCCGGTGCTGATGCTGCTGGTGCCGGTGCTGATGCTGCTGGTGCCGCTGGTGCGGGTGCTGCTCCGGATGCTACTCAAGTTGCGGGTGCTACTCATGTTACGGGTGCTGCTAGTGCTTATTGGACTTCGTGATATATCCGCCTTCTCTCCGCCTTCTTTCCGCCACCACTTACCGGTAATGCGACAACAAACCCGTTGATCATGAGAGCCCCAGCCAACACCGCCTCTCGCCAGAACGGTATAATAGTCGTGAACGTCTTGTTCCCTCCGTGGTCCCTATCCTGACGTCATGTATTTACCCCGCAGCCCCTTATTAGCCGTCCCCTGTTGTGCATCGAGCAGGACTGCAGTGACTCTCTCGAAGGCTTTCTGCAAAGCTCGTGCAAGCCAGCGGCCTTGTGGGCAGTCTAGATATGTGCCCTTCGCCAGGCATGGCTCCCGGAGTCCGCAGGGCCCCCTGTCTAGGTACCGGTGCGGAGGCAAGACGGTTGCTAGGTGCGCGTGCGTGATGTGGAGTGCAGAGTGACAGTGCAGTGCGGCTAAATCGTAGATGAGTGAGGTTACCAGGGGCTCATTCTTCCAGAATACCCCAGACTTCAAGGTCGATTCGCTAGGTATGCGTTGGCAATGGGTATTTATTGTTGGCTTGCCTCCATCATGTCCCATCTGTTCAGACGCCCGTCTCTCCTATAATTTACCGCCAAGTACAAATACACCGGTACAGGATGAAGAACTCCATAGCGTTGGTCAGTGCTGTCATGACGGCCGTGGCGGCCCGAGCCTCCGGTGCCCTCGAGTTCAAGGCCAGCATCACGGTCGACGCCTCTACGCGGTACCAGACGATGATCGGCGGGGGCTGCTCCGGGGCCTTCGGCGCGGCCTGCTCGACCGCCACGCTCTCGGCCGCGGACCAGGAGGCCGTGGCCGCGACGCTCTTCGGCGAGAACGCGGGCGGGCTCTCGGTGCTGCGGAACCTGATCGGGTCCTCGGCGGGGGCGACGATCCTGCCGTCCTGCCCCGCGACGCCCGCCGGCCCCTTCGACTACGTCGCGTCGCTCGCGGCCCTCGGCAACGGCAACAACGACACGTGCCAGCTGACGCTGGCGCGGGCCGCGCTGCGGCACAGCCCGGACCTCTTCCTCTACGCGGACGCGTGGTCCGCGCCGGGCTGCTTCAAGTCCAACGGCCAGGAGGCCGGCGGCGGCTACCTCTGCGGCGTCCGCCGCACCAACTGCACGCACGACTGGCGCGGGGCGTACGCCGACTACCTGATCGAGTACGTCAGGCTGTACCAGCAGGAGGGCATCAAGACCTCCCTGCTGGGCGCGTACAACGAGTGAGTGTGTGTCTTTTTCCCCACTTTCTTGCCTCGAAACGAAGCTGAAGATTTCCGCACCGCAGGCCTGACTACAACCCCGTCACGTACTCTGCCATGCTGTCGGACGGCTATCAGGCCTACGACTTCCTCTCCGTCCTGTACCCCAGGGTCAAGGCGGCCTTCCCAGACCTGAAGGTCGCGTGCTGCGACTCGACGGGGGCGCGCCAGCAGCGGACGCTGCTGTACGAGCTCGGCCGGCTCGACGGGGGGCTCGGCCTGTTCGACGTCAACACGTACCACAACTACCAGTCGGACGTCAAGCGGCCCTTCGACGACCTCCTATCAGTCCTCCCCGGCGGCCAGCAGCAAAAGCCGACCCTCGAGACCGAGTGGAGCGACGGCGGCGCCGCCTGGACGCCGACCTGGGACGTCTCGGGCCAGAACTTCGAGGGCCTCCAGTGGGCCGTGTACATGCACAACGCCTTCCGCCACAACGTCGCCGGCTGGTCGCACTGGTGGTGCGCCTACTACGCCGGCGGCGACGCGGCCCTCGTGCGCGTCGCCGGGTCCTCGTACCAGGTCGCCGCGCGCCTCTGGGCCTTCGCCGGCTACTTCCGCTTCGCGCGGCCGGGCGCCGTGCGCCTCGCGGCCGACGTCCTCGTCGCTTCCACCAGCAGCGGTAACAGTAGCGACAGCGGTGGCGATGATGACGATGTCGTCGAGGACCTGTACGTGACGGCGTGGGAGAACGCCAACGGCACCGTCGCCGTCCCGGTCATCAACCTGGCCCACTACACCTACACGCTGGACATCGCGGTCCCGGGCACGAGCGCCAATCACGCGGTGGCGTACCTGGTCGACAACGAGCACAACGTCACCGCTGACGGCGAGTTCAATTTCACGGGGGGCCGGTTCACGGCGCAGATTGAGCCGCGGGCCATGAAGACGTTCTTCCTGGATCAGAAGTAGAGAAGGGGGACGGGGAGAATGTTGCGGTAAAGGCTGGATAGGTGAAAACCTACATACTGAGAGACGGAGCTCCAATAGAAGGACCTGACATGCTCCATGTACAGAAATCCAATAACACGAAAAGATGCAAATTTGTGCCTTGACTTTCACAGAGATTGCTTGATTGGACTGGAATCAGGCACGTTTCCCGACTTCCGCGCACATCGAGAGACGAGAATGGGACTGGGGTTGGCCGAAAATCTCAGAGCGGCCTAGAAAGGGGAGATCGAACCCAGTCTATGATAGGGTAGAGTGACAGGCAGTCGGCCCGGAGGTCAGGTATACCACCTCAATACTCGTATCAGCAGACCGATACAAGACGTGAAATAGTGGCAGTCCTACCATTCGACAAGTGTCCGAGGGCCAGGGGTGAGTGTGAGGGAATAATAAGTTCGTCCCGATTTCTCACAGGACTGCGGAAGTGTGCATCAGGGGGGGATTGCCCAGGACAACCTTTCCCCTGCTGGCCCTTACCTAGCAGGGCCCAACAGTCACGGTTTAGAGCTGACGGTGGCCTGTCGCGCGAATGTTGGTTGGCATTCAGGGCAGGATTCGTTGCGTTGGAGACTGCAATCCACGATGCTCGGAGCTGGCTTCACTTGCTGAGTCTGCTGTGCCGCGCTGGTACGGTGAATGCCACGGGATGAGCTTGGGACACAAGTGTACGGAGTACAGGGCAGATTCTCGTGAAAAGGGGGGACGGTCCTCCGCATCAGCCAATCAGCGGATGTATAGGTGCAAGATTAGGTGGGGACACGGCCGGGGCATTACATAGACCCTGATAAGAAAAAAATTGATTCATTGAGCTATCATGGCCGAGTGGTAAGAAACCCGCCTTCGTGCACACGCGCGCCAATATGCTAACAACTGCAACAGGTTAAGGCGGCAGATTTAAGTGCGCTTCGTGTGCTAAAAACTCTGCTGACGAGAGTCGCGCAGGTTCGAACCCTGCTGATAGCAATAATTTTTTTTGCATCTCTCCAATCTTTCTCATGATGCAATGGTTTGGTCGTGTTCACGGTGGCGTAGTACAAGCAGAGCCTTGCTGCCCGGCCTGAGTGTCTCACCGGCGGGCCCTGGGTTTTTATCGCCGACTTCGCGAAAGGAGCGAAGTTAAAGAAGCGGCCGTGAGTCCATACATCGTGTGCCCATGACGAGTTCGGTATAGTCCAACGGTTTCAATACGTCTGTTAAGCCTCTTAGATACAAAACCGTGAAGTAAACGTTTCCCCTCCACAGAAACAAATGTCCATTCCAGAGTTTTAGGCAAATGCCCGTCTTCTGGTGCCTCCTACGCTCCCGCTCAGAAGAAGCACTCATAAGGGTATATCAACTAACAAGTAATGGTGGTAGTAGTCGTAGTCGTCTAAACGAACCTCGACCAGGTATCGCGCGCACTTGCTCCCTGTTCTATGTTTACGTGCCAAGCATCTTGAAATCATTCCAGGTCGGTCTCGCGCCGCGACGGCTTGGCGGCGCCGTCGAGGGCGGGCTTGGCGGCGTCCATGTGGCGGGAGACGGAGCCGAGGATGGCCTTGACCATGTCGTCGGCGCCGAAGCTGGCGGGCCAGCCGCGCCAGGCGACCGTGTCGACGATGTCGCGCGTGCCGGCGGCGCGGCCCATGTGGTCGTCGGCGTGCTCGAAGGCGGCGCGCACGCCCTCGTCGTCGCCGAGCTGGAAGAGCATGACGCCGAGCTGGTGCGCGGGCGCGCGCAGCGCGTCGAGCTCGCGCGCCGCCCGCACCAGCGGCGCCTGGTAGTCGTCGGCGCTCACCCCCGCCGTCACCACCACCAGGTTGAGCGGCGCGAATTTCGGGTCGGCCTTGAGCCGGCCCACGTACCAGGTCAGGAGGGCGTCGAGGCGCGCGCCGAGCCGGCACGTGCCGCCGGGGCGCACCGACGACACGATGCCCTGGGCGCTCTCCTTCTTCTTGCCGCCGTCGTCGTTGTGGGCCCGGCCGACGTTGTTGTAGCCCGACTTGCGCACCGACATGCCGGGGAAGTACAGCAGCGGCGTGTGGTTGGTGAAGTAGATGTCGATGCCGTTCTGGTCGTACTTGAGGCAGGTGGGGGCGACGGCCCGGATGATGGCCTCGACGTCGCTCCACTGCCGTTTCATGTTGGACGAATCGTCAATCAGAAACATGGTCTCGAAGTAAGACAGGAACTCCAGCGCCTCGGCGTGCTCCCACGTGGGGGCGCGCACGATGCCGGCGTCGACGTCGGGCATGGTGGCGGTTCTGACCGAGAAACAGGCTTGAAGAAGAGGGTAAGTGAGGGGTGAGAGTACGAACAACTTCTCTGTACTTATGAAGAAGGGGTCAGGTAGTAGTGAGGTTGGCGATCAGTCATCTACGGCAGGTGGGTAGCGAAAAGGGTGCCCTTTTCAGGTCTTTTCAGGGGTCACAGGCTCCCGTTTGATGAGCTCTTATCGATAAGTTTGTTTCCCCGCGATCCCAGAATCATCATGAACATGATCCATCACCCGATAATAAGTGACTGTGCTCAGGTGACAACTCACTACCTGGAATCCCATGTGTATAATTGCACCGCACTCTCTAAAGGCTAGAAGCTTTGACAGCAGCAGAAACACACCAGAGATCAGCTAGGCTGAGCCGGCTTCGCAGAACTGATCCAAAGGCTGTCTACGTCTTACCAGCTAGTGTAATGCGGTGGTACTACTCCGTATTGGCAAGATTGAAAAACACCAGTAAAGCGAATGTATGTCTCAAGGGACTTGAGACGAGGTTAAGAAGGTGGAAGCTGAGATGTTGACTCTATGGTCAGCTACAATATGCGGATAGCCTTCGAGTCGATATGCCCGCTGATACGGAGTACCGGTACTGGATACCGCATCTGATGCTCGCAAGGCTTCTTCACAACAGTAGTCCCATTCAATCCTGAAGAACTTGCTAACGAGTCACCGGAATATCTCTGTGGAGGTGCCGTGATCTGAATAGGTAACCACTTACTTATTGACCACATTGAATGAAAGTATCGTCTGGACTCCCAGATATCCCGACGATGCTGTGTAGCAGCCTGCATGACGGGTATGATAAACCACGTCTCTGATCTGGCTAGAGAGAGCCCAATTCCCCGCGTTACCTAAGCGACGCCCTCGGCGACGCCCCCACAAGCTTCGACACGGATGATGACTGCCTTGATACACCACGAGTCCGCCTAGGGCGTGCTTGCTGCCGCAGAAGCAAGTCCTCAGAGGCAGCAGCCGCGACACGGGCAAGTGAAACGACGTGACTGGAGGCTTCTTCTCAATCCAATACGCCGTTTTCCTCCATGCGGCGGCGCCGTGCTCTATTCTACATAGACCCGCGAGGGGCCCCAGGGAGGAGAGGGGGGGAAGACCAGACCAGACCAGACCAGACCAGGCCGGACCGGACGACATGGTTCAAAGACTATCAGAAATGGCCCAAATCCCCCGGACTCTGCATGGCCAGGTGTCCCTTGGCGAGGCGCTCGTACCTCTCTCTTATGATGGGCCACCTGCGCGCCTCCTCCCTCCATATCTTTTGGTACCCGACCCAGCTGGCGCGGGCGTCGGGGCCGCGCACGACCGCCGCCTCGGCCCACGGGCACGGGCCCCGTGACGGGCTCCCTGCCTCAGACTCCAGAAGACGCCGGTCCAGGGCCGCGTCCGTGACGCGCTCGGCCTCTTGGACCCACGCGTCCGCCGCGCGCGCCCAGTCCTCCGCCAGCGCGGCGCGCTCGCCCGCGAACTTGATCCAGCGCGGCACCGCGCCGGGCCGGAGCATCTTGAACTGCCGCAGCAGCTCGGGCGGCTTGAGCCCGTGGCCCATGGCCCGGCCGAAGGCCGCGATGGACCGCGACACCGCCTTGTCCGAGCGGCGCATGGCCGCGTCGCACTGCTCGAACCACGCGTCCATCCTTCGGGCCGTGAGCTGGTCCTCGTCGTCGTCGTCGGCGGCGTCGGTGGCGGCGTCGGTGGCGGCGGTGGCGGCGGGGGAGGCGTGCGCGCTGCTCCTGCTGCTGCTGCTGGGGGTCACCGAAGGAGGAGGGGGAGAGATGCTGTCGTATGGCAGAGGAGTGACGGGCTCGTCGTCGTGAGGTCCCGAGAGAGGATCCGCGAGAGGATCGTCCAGAGGTTCTTCCTTGTAGAAGTCTCCGTAAATTTGCTCAAGAATTCCGTCCGTCTGTTGTTTCTGGTAGTAGGTTTTCTCAGATTTCTCCCAGAGGTCTTCGTCAAGTTGCTGATGAACTCCTTTCTGGGGTTGTTCATCGGTGTTTTTCTGAGATTGCTCCTGGGAGTCTTTCTGAGGTTGCTCTTGGGAGTCTTCCTCAGACTGCTCGTGAAGGTCTTCCTCAGGTTGCTCTTGGGGGTCTCCCTGAGGTTGCTCGCGGGCTGACATGTTTAGCGTAATAAATTCGGGAAGAGAGACCACTCGGTGTCCTCGTTTCTTCTCCCGCGAGTCTCGGAATCGTGCGAAGATCGAAAAATAAGAGCAGCGAGAGGGGCGAGGATGAATACGGTAGACGGAATGGTCGACTGTGATTTCGACAATGCAGTATATATCTGCTACCTTGCACGTGGAACCTCTGGGAGGCACCAGTGAAGCGACCAGAACAAGACAGAATAGTAGGCGGATAATGAACAGAACTTGAACGATTTATCCGATGGTTGGTACCGATGATTGATATCTTGCTGTGTAGTAAGTTACCTAGGCAGACAGGAACAGCACCGTGGGATTTCCATGATCCTTATGGGGCATTTGTGAATTCTTGTGCAGACGTCAACGGAAAGAGGTCTGGAAAGTGTTGTTCAGAGGGCAGCAGCGTTGAGTGAAGTGGAAAGTAACCCGTACATGCGCAGCAGAATCATCTAGTAGGCAGGTAAGTTACTTCCCTCCCCAATTCTGACTCAAGGCAACCACGGCCTATGGATGGCGCGAGAGTCAAAGGGAACGTCAAAGATGCCAAGGCAGGACTCGCCTCGCGACCAGGTTGGCCGCTGGTACCGGATGCTATTCGTCCCGCTTGCTGATCTCTATCTCGGTGCCCTTCTTGCCCATGCGCGCCGTGACGACGGCAGCAACCCCGTTGCCTCCTTCGTCTTCGTCGTCGTCGTCAACACCCCTGCCGCTGCTGCTGCGCGGACTCCTCCCCATCATCTGCGGGCTGTGGGTGATGACGAGCCGGTACTCGACGCGCGGCATGAGGTAGTCGGCCCAGGCGACGACGACGGCCTGGCCCGCCGCGTCGAGGCTGTCGAAGACCTCGTCGACGAGGATGTAATGGGCCCGGTGCGCGCTGCGCATCTGGCTCAGCTGCATCAGGCCGAAGAAGAGGGCCAGGTCGATGCGCTTGCGCTCGCCGCCGCTGCGCTTCGGGTACGAGAGCGTCGGGTTGACGGTGAGCGTCTTGTTGAGCACGACGTCGGCTGCCCCGGCGCCGCCGCCGTTGCCGCCGCCCTCCTCATCCTCGGTGGCGCGGTCGCTGTCCAGGAGGGACCGCAGGACGCCCGACGTCAAGCTCTCGGCGTGGTGCGTTTCCTGGTATAGAAGGGCCAGGATCGGGGTCACCAAGTCGTTGAGATCGCCCAGGGAGTTCTCAAGAATGTAGCTTCGAAAGGTCGTGTCGCTGGCTTTGACACGGCGCTTCGAGAACGCCGACTCCCAGAAAGAGAACATTTCCCTCGCCGACGCCAGTTCTTCGATCTCAGCGTTGAGTTTGGATTGCTCGCGGAGCAAGTCCTGTAGCAACGCCTCTTCTTTTGCCAAGAGCTCGGAGAACGTTGTCATCTCCTGCTGTTTGCCGGCTAACTCAGCGCTGAGTTGAGCCTCGTGGGCCGCTGCCACGAGAGCAGCTTCGCGGCGTTTGGTATCCTTCTCCGAGAAGCGCCTCTGCTTGTCCTGCTGTTCAACCTGGCGCGTCATAAGCATCGACAGATGTTTTGTGGCCTTCGAAAGTCGGTTTCGTGTACTCTT